ACCTGTAAATTATTGCGAATTTTCTAAAAACAAGGCAAGATGATGATGTCTGCATGTGCTTGGGGCAGGTTATCTATGCACGCAAATATATATATATATATGTACATATATATATATGTATATACATGTGTATATATATATATGTATATAATATAGGTCTCTATAGAACATACTTCGTCAGCAGAGGTCACAGCAGAATAATAGCAGTAATGGCCCAAAATGGTTAAGGCTCCTCAAGAAGTGTAAAGGTTCATATCAAAGGTTGCGTTTGGGGCTTCCGGACTGCATGTAGGCTCCATGGCCGCCGTACGGAGGTAAAAATTCATATGATGCTAAGTTGTTCGTACCTTTGGCAATCAGCGTGTTCTAGTATCGGAATGCGGTCATGAAAGTTTTTTTAGTAACAGCAGTATCTTTCGACAGCCAACCCCCAACCTGGTCCCGTGAACTTGGGGGTTGAGGGAGGGCCTAGGGTACAGGGTTTAGGGTTTAGGGTTTAGGGTTTTGGTTGCTTGATTTGAGTGCCCAAGCTGTAGCCTGCATGACGTGTTTCATCGGTAGGTAGACTTCTCATCTGAGAAACAGGATTCTCAGTAGGTCTGGGCATCCTCTGTCCATCAGAAAAAAGCCCTCACCGTAGTTACTGTACGCTTATAAATGCGATTACTCAACCTGCAACCGTCCCAAAACTGAAATTGTTGTTGTGATTCTTTGCCGATGTTGAGGGCAGATGGCTTCCACATAATCCTCATATATGCCTTCAACACTTCCTGGATCGATACCCGCATCATAATTTGATGTGCGTGTTCCACCTGGACCCAAACCCTCAACCACCCCTTTTTAAGGTCCCGGAGCCCAAGAAGGGCCAGATCCTCATCAAAGTGCAGCTGGCCGCCGTGAACCCAATTGCAGCCGAGCTTCAAAAGAAGATGCTTACACGAGGTTTAGGCCTTAGAGTTGGGGATCTCAGGCACTTTACAATTTGTGGTTTGGGTTCCCGCTACATTAATTATTAGCCCTAAACCCTAAACCCGAAACCCTAAACATGTCGAATAGTTTGTCACATGGTCAGAGCAGTGAGTATGGCAAACTCCTGTGTGAGCTATAGTCTAAACTCCTAGTATCCCCCCTAATAGCCTGTATAATAGTGCCCTATAGAATACCCTATATAATCCCACCGTTTTTAGGAGTTTGGATTTTGGCTCATGTAGCCATAAAACCCTAAAGCCTAAACTAGTAGTTTCCATTTCCTTTTCCATTCTACCCATATATATATATATATATATAACCCTACATAGCCCCTATGAAATCCCTTTGTGGGAACGTGGTCAACATCGTTTGCTTGCAAGCCAATGACCCGAGGGTCTAAATTTGCGGATCCGTTCGGCTCGGGTGGTGCAGGATGCGGTGATACTATTCATATTTACTTTTGCTTTAGCATTATTATGTTATTAGTACTATATTGTCATTTTCATGGGCTTTTGGACTTTATGAAGCTCCTTAGGTTGTTAGCCATGCAAGGGCATGATGAATAAGGGGATTTTGGTAAATTTTGGTAACCCCAATTCCCCAGGACCCTATGACTATCATATGATGGTTACAGGGTCCTCATTTTGGGGTTTGGGGTTGCCAACATCCCCTTATTAATGATGGGGCGGTCCTAATGGATTCAGCTTCTTTGGGCCTGGACAAACTGTGTAGCTTGGATGGGCATTCATCCCCCCCACCCCCCCACCCCAAAACCCCCCCCAACACCCCACCACCCCCCACCCCCCAATCTACTATAACATACGACAATGGGGAGTAAACAATTTGTTTGGGGGGTGGGGAGGTGAAACATTACGGGGAGGGGATTACAAGCAGCTGCCTAAAAACTTCCCGAAACCTTACATCCCTACATTCCAACCCGTCCTTAAAGCCTCCGAAAAAGGCGCATAATGTTGTTTTAAAGAGCCCTCAACCTCAAACCCTGTGTTCTGAGAAGCCTTTTTCCTTGTTTATCCTTGTCCTAGACAAGGGAGAATGTGCCTGGGGTCTGGTGCTCTTCAGCTAATCTGTAACCCGCAAAGGCTCCATCTAGGCCCTTCTCTTGTATCTCCTTAGGACTTATACTTTATCTTACCTGTGGTATAACCCCAAAAAGCTATGAAATGTTTTATCTTTAGAATATAGGTCTAGGGGATTACATTCTAGTCCTGAAGCTTGAACGAGCACCGGAAGCACGACAGTCCGAGAAAGACCGGCATGCTCCCGACCGGAAGAGTTTCCGTGCATGTCCATAAGACGGATGCAAAATCAACTCCTGCGTAGGGACCCCATGATGCTGCATCTCCTTCTGTAATCCTCATACATTTCCCCAGGGCGCTCCTGCTTTCAGAAACCCACCTAAACCCTAAACGCTAAACCGTGGTGATATGGGCTCTTTCCGGAAATTCCCTATGAAATACCAACTAGATCACCTCTAGGGTCCGATATTAAATCCATAGCAGTAATTTCCAGCTCATTTTTCTATTCTTCTCCAGTCGATTCTGCATTTTGGGGTTATATAGCCCCTATATAATCTCTATTTAACCCTATAACCCTATACAATCCCGCAGAACCCCTATAAACCTTGAGTAACGCCCGTGCAAGCAATATGAAAGCCCTTAGGACTGGAAGCTCTTCAGCGGTGGCCTCCACGGCATCTTCCCCTAGGCTACCTTGAGCCTAGCTCTTAGGGCCTAGGGGTTTCAGGTTTAGGGGTTGGGGGTTTACAGTTAGGGCTAAGGGTTTTCGGGTTTAGGGTTAGGACTTAGGGTTTAGGGGTGAAGGGTTTAGGGGTTAGGGTGGTTTAGGGGTTTATGGTTGGGTTTAGGGGTTTAGGGGTTCAGGGTTTAGGGCCTTCTCCAAGCGGGAACCTGTCAAGCCTGTTGCAAAAGGGCTTAGGGAACCTAAGCCCGAAACCCCTAAACAAGAAGCCAAGGCCCGGTGACTTTCCCATATGTGCCGGGCTTCGACATCGCCGGGAAGGCCTCCTGTGCCCAAAGGTTTTTGCTCACAGACCACTAGACTTTGGGTACTGCCCCCCTCAGTAACAGTTGGATAATAGATATAGTATGGTTATATATAGCCCTTATTAGAACCCCTAATATAGACTGTTACTGGGTGGGGGCAGTACCCAAACTTGACTTGTTCTGTATGAATGTGTATATAGTTGATTTTGTATATAGATGAGTAACTCAACATATGTATGCTCATGTCCATCTATGGGGTTCAGGTTTGTGCTGTACCAACCAAATGCGCAGTATTTATGACCCGAATTCAAGGGCCCTTTGCCTTCCTACACAACTGAATGTGTGCCCGCATGGTCCGCTTCATAAAGCTGCATGTGCCACAAGCCCTGTGCCCTCCGCGATGATATGGTGCAGTTCTCAAAGCGAGGGTAGGTTGGCCCTCATCCCTCTCTTGCACAGGTGTTATACATAGCCATATAGGTATGTCCATGTCATCTTTCTCCTTAAGACAAGCCGGGAGCCCCAAAAGAGCCCTGCGAATACTACTTACACTATCCCTATATAACCCCAATGTCTACCCTAAGAATCCCTATATAATCCTTATGTCCCTATGTAACCTTTTATAATTTCTGTATTTCTCATGCATCTATGGGGTTCTTTCCAGTTTTTGGAGGACGGGTAAGCCTGCTTATAGGGACTCAAGAACCCAATTTTGAGAAGCCCGCGCTGTGCAGGTCGCCAAACTGGGCGAGGGTGTCACAGGCTTCGCTGTCGGCGACGAGGTCTCCAGGTCTATCATTTGAGGTTTGAAGATGTCGGGTGTAAGATTCAGAGGTCGGGAGCTAGAGTCTGGGGGGACTGAAGGTCGGGATCTAATGCTGGGAGCCGCATTTCTAAGAAGGAAAGCTTGTGATGTTCTCGAAGTATCAACACGTTGCGCTTCACCTGAGATGCTGTTTTCCCCCTTCTTCTTCACCGACTCAGCCTAGGTTTGCGCGGATATCGGCCTTTGCGAGACGTGCTGCAAGGAGTGGCAAGGGATGACGGCTGTAGCTCCGTTCCTGCTTTTGAATGAATGTTGCTTGTGTGATTGCAGGATCCATTCCTGCCTTCCCCCCAAAATGCAAAAGTCCAGATGTTCAGATTTCTGCGCTTCTTGTATCAGGCAGATATCGCAAGAATATATTGATCTCAGGAGATCTAGAGTGGAAGACGATACATGGAACAGAGAGAGAGAGAGAGATATACGGGATCACATGGGAATTATGCCCTAAACTTAGAAAGAGTCTTTCACAAGTGATGGCGGCTTTCAGCAGTCAACTTTGATTGGGGCTTTTCTCGCGCGTGTTGAATCGACCTGGATCTTTTATCTTACTTTTTGTTGCTGTGCATGGCAGGGAGCAAATGGGAGTCAGACCCCATATGAACAAGAATCTAAATTCCTTAAGGGGGGTTACATAGGGGAGGCTTCTAGGGGCGATAAAGGGGGATGCTAGGAGATTAGACTATAGCTCATATCCCGAATAGTAGTTTCCATTTCATTCTTCATCTGCTTGTCCTTTGATTCTCCATTGCTGGGGTTATGCAACCCTATATAACCACTATATTATCGTCATATTTGCAACATACCCCGTTTATATGACTCTATGTAGCCACATATAAGCCCCACATTCCAAAATCATCCCAAAAGATTCTGGATGTGGGTCTCCTGGTAATGTAGGCAGAGCTGATGGTTGAAAGTCTTTCTTATCTACTTCTTGGCATACTGGCCTTTGTTGTTTGCTGCTATGTCTACCTGCAATTAGCCGTCAGTTTTGGCAGTTCGGTTGGTGTCCTCAGGAGCTTGGTTGGGAGGTGAAGAATGAGATTGTGCAGGGACGACAGCAGTGTTTTTTTTTGGGTCTTGGAATTCGTGTCAAAGTTGCGGCCTGCCTTCTGCAGGTAGGTCATTCTTAATGGGAATAACAAAGTAGGAATTTTCGTAACTATAGCGATATGCTTTGGGACATGTTGTCATCGTTTATTGACAGTTTGTTACTTGTCCTCGGCTTTCCCTGCTTGGAGGACGCGCCGGCTGGGCCGGCAGGTGCCTTCGCAGAGTATGCTGTGGCCTTGGCTGACACTGTGGCCAAGAGGGACCGCCTCCAGATCTGCAGCCCCGGGGTTCATTTTCTACATGCTTCTTCAAGGGGGAGGCACAAATAAACCACTGTGGATTCCCAGGCCGAAGCCATCACGGCTGCGTAGGAGTTTCCAGGATACCGCGTGCGCGTAAAGGCTTTGGCTTGCAATTTAGCACTGGGCCTACTGAGCATGCAAAAATCGCCTTTGCGGGGTGGTATCCCCAATGGGCCCCTTAGCTATGCCGCTACTCTTGCTACCGCTGCCGATTTTCCTGCTACTGCTACTGTTACTCCTAGTACTACCACCACCGCCACCATCAGTACCACGAGGATGACTGCTCTTTGAACATGATGATGCTTGTAGTTACTATGGCAACACCTGGTATTGTTATGGCGAATCACTGCTACACTGCTACCGCTATGGCTACTGCTTCTATAGCTGCTGCTGCTGCTGTTAGTCCTTCTCCTTCTTTGTGCTGCTTACTATTCTCGACTTCTAGGACAAATGCTATCACTTTGATGGTCATGATGCTGGCAGATTCTCCCCATAACTTTTGCTTTTATTTCTAGGTCTTTTTGAAGGCAGCTTGTCAGAACGCAATCCTCGCGCATTAACACTCTATACCCCGCACCCCTACATTTCTAACACATCCCAAGCCCTAAGTCGTGAAACCTAAGCCTGAAACCCCACATGCTGGACCCTAATCCCTGAGCCCAAACTCCGAGGACTAACTGCTAAACCCCAATCCTACTGTTCCTACAGATTGTAGATCCTTTGTAACCCCTCAAAGGATCCCTACCACACTCCAGACACTAAGTCCTGCACCCTGAATCTGTCCCCAAGGCCCAAAGCCATAAACCCATATGCTCCAAATCTTAAACCCTAAGCCCTCAACCCTAAACCCCCAGCCCTAAACCCCTAAGTCCTAAACCTAAAACCCTAAGCCATAAGCCCTAAACCCTACTTCCGCCGCAGGAGGGCCTGAGTGCAGAGCAGCTGGTAGGCCTCCCCTTGGCCGGCCTCACCTCCTACCAGGTGTTTCGGGTTCCTTTTAGAGTGTTTAGGGTTTTAGGGTTTAGGCGTTTTAGGTTCAGGGTTTAGGCTTGGGGATTGTTTGGGGCGTTATAAACAGAGGTTTAGGAGGTAAGGGTGTTGAATAAAGGTTTTGAGTTTAGAGTGTGGGCTCCGGAGTTTAGCATTTACAGATAGGGTGTAGGGCTCAGTATCTCAGATCTAAAGCAGGGAGGGAACCATTCTTGACTTTTCTTTCAGATTGCGTAGGGTTTAGGGAGTCGAGATGTAGAGTTTTAGAGTTTAGGATGTATATTAATTTAGCATTTAGGGCATAGGCTTCAGCATAGGAGTTTCAGAAAGTAAGATGGCTAACTAGATGTTCAGTGAGATGTCGTCAATTAAGCAGCCTGAAAGGTTGAACGTGCTTTATGCCAATAAAACCCCTGATGTGATTGGAAGATTGGAGCTATGGTCCTACAGGCACCTGTACCACTGAGGGCCTGTATTTTAGGTGATCTTACACTACACGGCCCCCCCCCCCTATTTCCCCTCCCCCAAAACGAGGATTAGACAACATCTGTTGAGGTCTCAAATTTGGCAGGCTCTCCGGGCCAAAAAGAGGGTATGGTACAGTACTACTGGTTGTTATCAGGGAATTTGGGAATATATCCTTTGGAGGGATTATAATCCCTTACACAATCACAATTAACGCGCTGGCCTGTACCCGGCACTAAGCACTGAGCCTAAATCTCACAGGCTTACGCCTTGCCTGCGGGTTCCCCAACAATGTGATCCCTGTTAGGTGTGCCATTATAAAGAAGTTCCGCATTCTGGAGTATGTGGAGGAGAGCGCAATCTAAGGTCATTGTTGGAAATAAGTGTTCAACTTGTATTATACCACTTCCCAATAGGGAATGTACAGCTAAACTTCTTACTAGTATCCCGAAGAGGAATCAGTGTTTCTGGAATACACTTAGAGAAGCCTTCTGCTGAGGCGCTCTTCACGGGCGCAGGGCGTGACTTCACCGGCGCCGAACTTGGCAAGGTGGCTGCAGGCTGTCACACCGAAGTGCTTCCACGAACGCGTTTTCTGCCTCTACCGCCCTCAAACTGGGCTTGAAATAGGGTGCAGGGTTGTACTCAAACCCTACACCCGAAATCTTGACCCCTTTCTCATGATAAGGACATCCAAAGCAAGGTCCGTCATTCGTGGTAAGCCGCACATGTAAGCTTGGAGGATTTAGTTTTTCTTTGGTCCAAGGTTTTTGGCAGGGGTCCTGGGCACTTGGTATGAGGACATTGTGATGGGAGCAGTATAGGGTTTGTGTATATAACTAGAAAATGTGCAGGTCTCCGTAAACTGATTTTCGCTGGTTGGTGATTGGGTGGGTAGCTTGGCGGAGGCTGGTTTCATATAAGCTTGCCCTGATGTAGGATTATTAGAATGGATGCAGCGATGCGCAAAGGGGAAACTGGTGCTGAAGGGGGAGTCAGGGAGTGAGACAGGTATTACAAATGGGGATTACTCTCGGACTCACTCCCGCTTAAGCACCAGCAAGGGGAGCTACAGCAAAAGCTACAGGTTCCTGTAGTTCGCACAGCTGGAGTAGGGTATAGAAAGCAAGGAGTTCCATCAAAACATAGAGAGCATAATGCATGAAGTGTCTCGTGCCCTTGGCCATCCAGAATAGTTAATGAATCATGAATCCTCAATCCGTAGACCCAAGCTGTGGACGCAAAACGTGGAGAATCCATTCACCTAGACCCTACCCCTGGGCAGGATCCGCAGCCTGACCCTTTAGACCTTGAACCCTTAACGTGGAGAGGCCGTAAACTTAATGGAGCCTAAGCCCTGAACTGGAACCCGAAACCCCGAAACCTTAACCCCTGAACCCTAAACCTTACGCCTACACGTATGTACCCCAAAGTAACCCTTATCACCCTTTTGAGGAAACCATATGAACATAGAATTCCACATTTGGACATTATCCCTAAACCTTAAACTAATACAGATATGGTCATATTCTATATAGCCCTTTTCCAAGAAAGCCTTTTCAGTTAATTAGTAACCTCAAACCCTAAGCCATAGAACCCTTAACCCCACACGGAGAGGCCACAAGCTGCTGGTCTTAGGTGGCGCAGCGGCCACGGGCGCTATTGCTATCCAGCTGGCCAAGGTGGAGATTTTAACCTGTTCGGCGTTTAGGTTTTAGGGTCTTAGGGTTTGGGGCCTGTAGAATGCTCATACTAGTCCTGGCCGGTCTCTACATCCGATAAGACAATTTGGCCTGTTTTGGGTGAACCTTCAACAAGTACGACTCAGTCTTTCGCACGCGCGGCTCAAAGCCCGTCTGACCTGTCGAGCCATGACATCCGCCATTGCGCTGCAACCACACTCACTTTACTATGGTGATGGCTGTCTCGTATCTGTATATAGTAGTTTCCCAAAATATGAGGACCCCAATATAGACCACAAAATATTACAATCCTTACCATGGGGATCCCCCAAAATGGAACCCCTAATTCTGGGGAGCCTCCCCCATTCAGATTGCTTCTGGGATGCCATCAGACGCATCCTGCCTTCTTTGTCGTGCGTTTTCTACAGCCTGGACTAACTTCGCCGCACCCAGTCACAGATAATAGGGATTACAGGGGAGTAGTATATGGGTTAGAAAGGGCTACACTAGGAGTTTAGACTACAGCTCACAGATAATCCATTTTGAAAACTGCACATGGTAGCAAGCACTCACCATGTCCTTCTACAACTATACAACAAGTAGCGATAGCAACATTGCTAAGTGTAGGTCGACCAAGCATGGTCACCGCAATAGCTACCCTGCTTCAGCCGTGGTTGTAATTGCCTATGGTCCCCGCAGTAGGCTGCTGTTGTCACAGGCTGCGGGTGCGCACGTGACCACTACTGCCAGCCCCAACAAGATGCCAGATGGCACCAGCAAGATTGACTACATGAAGAAACTGGGTGCAGACGAGGCGCGGCAAGCTTAGAGAGAGACCCAAATCGCCAAATTACCCCAGCAATTATTCACAACAGAATTGCCCCTGTGCACCTACCCCTTAACCCCAGACCCTAGACCCAAAACCCTAAACAGTAGTTTCCATTTTCTTTTCCAGTATCCTTCTAGCACCCTATATTATATTCTATATCCCTTAGTCCTATAAAATAATGGTAGCTGCGTAGACTTGGCGAAGCTGGGGCTTCCTACCGTACAGGGTTTAGGGTTTAGGGTGCAGGCTTTAAGGTGTAGCGCGCGTAGTATTCTGAAAGGGGAGAGTACAACCCCAATATAGAGTAAGACTGTGTTCGCCCCGGGGTATAGTACAGTCCTTTAGAAGAAGAATATAATGTTGCAGGGTTTATATAACCACAAAAAGGTACTAAAGCATAAACTTCTTGCGCATTCCCTACTATGTATCCCTATATACCTCTGTACGCTAGTCTTAATTCAGCCACCAAAAACTCTAAACCAAGATCCCCGAACCCAAGCCCTAAACCCTACACATTCCCCAAGCAACCCGTAACCTTCGGCTCAACTGCCAGAAAACTCTGAGCCCTGAACCCAAGGTATCCCCAAAGTAAATAGAACCCCCCAAAGCGCACTGGTTCAATCGCCAAAGAACAGCTTTCAGGTGGTAGTTTCGTTAAAAAGAAGGACTTTAATGTGGACCCCCAAATGCTATCATCCTTTTTATGGTGACCCCCGAAAAAGGTAACCATCTTTTTTGGAAACCCCCATATCCATTATAGATTCAAAGCCCCAACCCAAACCCTAAACCCTAAACCCTAAACCCTAAATCGTAGTTTTCATTTTCTTTTCCATCTATCCCTATAGAACCCTATACTATACCTCTATAATCCCTTAGTCCTATAGAATCATCTAAAAATAACCCTGATTTTGGGGAAACTCCCCCTAAACCCTAAACCCTAAACCCTAACGGTAACCTTGGTTTTGGGGAAGCTAGCAGGTGATCAACTACAAGGAGAAGGATTGGTCAGAAGCCTTGGCGGGCAAGGACTCTCAAAAGATTTTACGGTGAAGGGTTTAGGGATTTAGGGTTTAGGGATTTAGGGTTTAGGGTTTAGGATTTTAGGGTTTAGGGATTTAGGGTTTAGGGTTTAGGGGTTTAGGGTTTAAGGGTGTAGGATTTACGGTTTAGGGATTTAGGGTTTAGGGTTTCGGGATATGGAGGGTTTGGGGTTCACGGGGGTCCTGTAAAATGGAGAACCTGCTCTGGGGGAGTTTTATCCTATCGAGGTCCAGATAGGGGTTCATACTAGTAGATAGGGAAATAATGGATAGGCAAATATATTATAAAGATGGCGAATGAAATCGCAACTGGGCTTCTATACGGGCTATAGGAAGAAGAGTTTTTTTGCGGTATATAGGATTTGTTAGGAGTATTGGTGACCATATATTTATATGTATGTATATACGGTTCCAATTTGGGGGAACCATAATTTGAAATTCTATTCATTGGTATGGGGTTAATAAGAACTGTGTGCTTTCTCTTGATTGTGAGAAGCATCTGGTAGATTGTCAAAATCGTGGTTCTGTTTTTGGGTATCCTAAATACCATGCGCCGCATTGCACTAGGGACCAAAAAGGGGCCAGCATTTTAAATTGGAATTCTATAATCCTCACTGAGAGTACCTGAAACCCTAAAACTTGAACCCCAGTAGCATTATCTCCCCGTTTAGTACCCCAAATGCTGAAAATCACGCGCCAGGTAGCTACGTCTTGGAATACAGGCCTTTTCAGATCTGGGATGATGGTGGATATGGTTGGAGTGGAAGTATCTTTCAGAGTTTAGGATTGAGGGCTTGGGATCTAGGTTTTAGGATTTAGAGTTGTTTGGGGTGTAGGTTTTAGGGTCCCTTTAGATGCCTTTTATACGGCTGTTACATGGTGCGGGTCCACCTAGAGCATCTTCATTTTACATTTTCTGTCGCCTCAGCTCGATACGTATCAAATGCTCAGACGTTTATACTGACTCAACACCCCGTGGCGCTATACTGCTCCAATAAGGGTTAACTATGGGTGAAGGAAGGCCTGAAAGGATATCTGTATACAAAGTATGTATACATACATATATATGCTTATTTATCTGCTTCCTTACATCCCCACCCTGACATCCTCGGGCTCTTCATAAATCCCGGCAGACATATGTGTGACATCATCATTAGGCGCCTTGCAAGGGCCGATCTTATCCTTCAACGACCGTTAGTTTCCTGCGCAATACATGGGAAAAACTAGGGTGACAGGATTCAAGGGAAAAATGTCAGGGGGCAACCTCTCCTACTTAAGCCCTAACGCTAGATCCCAGTCTAAACTTGTCTGAGCTCATAGGACTACGATCAGATCTACGACTGCGTCGGGGATGCCGAAGATTGGAAGAAGGCTGCAAAGGCACAACTTCTGTCCGAAGTCATGAAACAAGGAGACAAGCAAGGAGACAAGGGTATAGTATAGGCGCTTGTTTTCTGAGCTCTGTTCCAAGAAAAACCAGCTCAGCTTGACGACAGCGCAGTGGAAAACAAGGCTCCCCACGCTACCACCCAAGGGAATGGATAAAGCAATCCCTGCAGCGGGGTCACTCTTTCTAATGTATCGCTGCATACCTGCAGAACTCCTTATAGTCAATAGTCTGCAAATTAAGAAATTCCCCCTGTTTTTAGATGCTGACAGGTCCTGAAGAAGGGAGGTCTCTTTGTCAGCATCGCCAACTTCGGAGATGCGAAGTCCACGGACAGCCATACCTTCAAGAACTTTCTCTTGAAGAGCAACAGCGAGGATCTCAAGCTCGGGATTGTACCGCATACTTCTTTTGAAGTCCTGGGGTGAGTTCTTCCGCGTGCCGTTTTAGGCATTTTGTCTCTTTCTCCTTTTCCTGGCCTGTTCTGTTGGGAGATGCCCATGGTAAAGTCAATCTGTCGTCCTTTGGCGGACTGATGCATGTTTCCGAGTTTCTTTCAAAAAGATTCCTCTTTCAATTTGTAGGAAATATGCGGAGGGTGCCCTAGGATGGCTGAATTCCACACGGGATGGGTAAGCGGGACATTTCTCCATCCTTCTCCTCCCGAGCGTGCTACGGAAACAGAAAAGTAATTGGATCGTGTACCTGGACAAGCGAGTCACGCGAACAGACCAAAGCTGTGCTTGTGCCTGTCAAATTTCCCTACAGACCCTGCGCGCCTTTTTCATTGCACCTCATGACAGGTCGCACTGTTGAGCCTGTGCAGCATGGTACGGAAACATGTATGCCTTCGGAGAAACCTCTTGTTATAATGGTGCCTGCATTTTGCAATTGTCGCGAGGCCCGTCTCTGACCCCAGAGATTTTGTGACTGCATGTCCGGCCACTACGTAAGATGCCCCAAATTGAAGATTGTCCGCTCTTCGTGCCCTTCCTAAAACAAGAACTTGTAATCAACATATCCCAAGAAACAACCAGAAAAATATCCCAAGAAGCAACCAGAAACCTTGTCAGGACCTGAGCAAGATGGTCCAGATGGTCAAGGAGGGGAAGCTGAACATCCCTGTTGACTCCATTGTCCCGCGGTTTTCAGGGGTCAAGGGCTTAGGGTTTGGGCGTTTAGATTCTGGGTTGGGGTGGGCTCAGGGGCTTACATTTCTTGGGGCTATATGGGGATAATGGAAAAGAAAGTGGAAACTATTTTAACGGGTTTATATAGGGTTTAGGGTTAAGGGTTTTAGGGTGGAGTGTTCAAGGTTTAACACGGCAATTCGCAGCATTTCCTCTCAGGACCCTCCACCCCCCAAAATGGAGTCGAGCCCTGTTCTGCTCTGTGGCTTGGGATTTTGCAGGTGTGCTATCAGCAACCCCAAATGTAGGACAATGTAGGAGTTCTTCAAGTAAAGGGCCACAAGCAGGTGCCAACTTTGCAGGCCCATTTGCGTTTTGAAGGGGTTCATGACTCTGGGATGTCTGGTTGTAGGTAAGAGGTGTTGACCTCTATCTCAAGCCCAAACTGCTGGACCCTACAGCTTAATCCCATACTTGAAGTTCTTTACTGCACACACCCTCAGTCCCAAACCCCATAAACACCTCCTTGTCGCATAGGCCTACGGATAGCCAAGGTTCCCTTCGCGGATGTCCCCTCCGTTTTGACCAAGAGCATGGGTTGGGCCAGCGCCGGCAAATTGGTCGTCAAGGTGTCGGAGTAGGATTATGATCCAGATGACTAGCCATGGGGGCATTTATCTACATGCAGCAGTTTTTCTGTTACATACGCAAGCCAACCAAAAAATGAGTAAATGCAGGGGTTTGAGTTGCTTGGAGTCCCCCAATAGATCAGTTCTTACGTCGCCGGAGAGCCTTTCCGCCAAGCGGAGGAGGCTGTGATTTTCTGGGTTGCAGTAAAGGGAAATTGAGTTAAGTTACCATCATGAGGAAGCTCTACTACTCTTTTAAGTCATATCACGGTACCCTAATTTAAGTCCCTTCACGGCGACCCAGAAGAGTCTGTGATTTTCAGCGGGCATTGTGCAGCCGCTGCTTAGGAGCCGGCAATCTGCACTGCCTGTCCCCAACCGGCACAAAGCATTGGCAATGCCGGATTTTCTGACATTTCAAGGGTCTCCCATGACCTCCGATTTGGGGTCTAACCCTAAACCCTAAACCCTAAACCTACAAAGGGGCCTTCAGCCCGCGCAGGGAGACCCATGAGATTGCCCCCCTTTTTGGTTTTCCCTATTGGAGCAGAGACCAACCCTGCAAAGACTTGGCACAGGGTCCGAGAACCTGGCTCGGAAGCACTTTCCAGAAAAAGGGGCGCCATTTCAAGATGCGCTGATACTGATGCGTGCACAAACTCAATTGCTTCTGTGTATAGGGTATATATATATATATACCGACTAAAATGAGGAGTATCATTGCGGCGGATACTAGGAGTTTAGATTATAGGTCATGCGGCCCATGACCCCTCAAAGGTCCTGATACAGTGTCTGGTCTTTTGGAGATTTAAGGTCAGGGCCAGTGTACTGTCAGTCTAAAGACGACGATAATTCTCCCACGGCTGCCTAGTCCCGAATCACAAGCGTCGAAAGCAACCCCCCAAACTCTAAAACCTAAACCCCGCCAAGTCCCTGAATCCCAAATCCCAAGCAACCTCCACGTGCTTATCTAACTCTACACCCTTAACCCCAAACCCCTTCAGCTCCACTGGCACAGGTCCTCTGTATCTCAGATTTTGCAGGGCGAGCAGGCCTCTCTGTGCGGTTGAAGGTGTTGCAGTTAATCGCTTCCCGTAATATTTAGGGTTTAGGGTTATTAAAGAGCGTCCCCCCCACCCCCCCATAATATTCAATAATCCATTTAATATTCAGGAGGATATTTATTGAAAGCATCAGATAGGGATGCCTCTAAAAGATCTGCTTCAAATCGAATGAAAATCAATGGAGGTCGAATTGAATACACGTGGAATCTAATTGCAATCAGTTTAAATATGGCTCACATGGTAATAAAATCATTACAAGCGCACTCATGTTCTATACTATATGATTTCCTTTATAGAAATGATACGGAAAACCATCGAAACCTAGGATATCAAGAGGATCCCTTATTCCTTTCTGTTTCCTGCTAAACACCCCCGAGGCAACTCAAGAAAACCCAAATCATTAATAGGCGGCTCCTTTTAAAGGTTGTCTTCCAATTTTAAGCGTAGTCTTCAGTAGCTTGGTGCCCCTGACTTTATTCTTTAATATCAGGGGGATTTAATATTCGGGGGAAGGGATGACACGAGTCCTAAGAACTGGGAAGAGGTTTTGGGATGGTTCAGGCGTGTATGCTACATGAGCCAATTAAATTCCTTAAAAGAGGGTTATATGAGGGATTATATGGGGGACTACTATAGAGGTTATTAAGGGGGATACTAGGAGTTTCGAGAATGGCTCACATGAGCCGTCACAATATTGTCTCACAACCGTCGGAGAAGGACATGGCATAGACGTTTGAGGGTGGTACTTGGAACGGTATAGTACAGCTGAGTACTTGGGCCTCAATTAAGTCGCACGTGAGGGGTCCAGTGCTTGCTGGTTGTTGGTAGGAGATAAAGGAATTGACGAGAAAATGGTGGCTACTATAGACTTTGGGATCATATAGGAGCTACTGCAGGGATCCATTCCTTCATGCCCTACTGAGAAAAAGTAAGCGTAGCCTGCAGCATGGAAGAGTGCGCAGCAAAGGGTCAAGACCTTGCGAATATGGTATCTGGCCTCCAACCCAGAACTAGGCTACCCTCCCCCAATTACACAGCCGCCTTTGAAAAGGATAGTGGACAAGTAGATATAGCGTTTAGGGTGTAGTCCCCCTTACGTAGAAAATGGGTTACGTGGGGATCTTATAATGATTTTGGGGAATCCCATATTCACTATATTCTCAGACACTTCGATACTCCGGGGGGACGTTTCAAACTCCACTTGCCTGAGTTCGCAGAGGGAAAGAAGAAACATGCTTGAGAAGCTGTGGCATTCCCAAAGCGGCAGGATGCCGTGGAGTACAGCGATTCCTGGCGCGAGGTGTTGAAGGGTGTGGGTGATTCCGGGGAAGTGCTCTGGGATTTCGTGTTTAAAGGTATGAGTCGTTTTTTTTGCAGCAAGGGGCTGCGCTTTAGCTAAAAGGGGTTAGTTTGGGTCCAGCCTTCGGTTGCAAGTTGAAATCTGTAAGCGTGGCAGGTATCGGAATTGCCTGATCAGACAACGGCTTGCGCTTCCAGATGTGTCCTCCGCACGACATCTCCAATCATTTGCGAGATATAGTTTATGGGGATTGTTAAGTAGGTACATACTTACTAAGTCCCTCTGACCCTCCAAATAAGGATCTGAATTCGGGATTGTAATGAGATTAGCGGTTTTTCGCGTTGGAGTGAGCACTACTCGGGGAAGAGAAGGAAGAGAGCGCAATACAACATGAAGTTTGAAAGCACCTGAACCCTAGACCCTAATGCACGCACGCGAAGACAAAGCGAGAAGAGAAGGCTCACATTGAACTTTGTCGGAGCAAGCACTGTTACACTAAAGGATGCACTCCCCCAAACGGAAGCCCAAGAAGCCACCCTCTTTCTGAGGCATTCTGCTATCTGTATCTCCATAGTAACCCTAAACGCTAAACCCCAATGAGAGATGCCGCAGCATATAAGCTCTTATACCAGGCATATAGTTTCAGACACAGCCACACCCAGACAGGACACACCGACCCTAGAACTAAAGCTCCAAGAGGCAGCCTCAGAGCCTCTACTAGGGCTTCTCGGATTTCGGTTAAGGGCTTTTGGGCTTAGGGTTTTTGGTCTAGGGCATTTTCTCGCAGCTGGGCACGCATTTCGGGAACAACTCAGATCTTACAATCTTCAAGACACTATTGCTTTCCATAGCAATCCTTGCAGATGTATCCCGAGGATGTGTACATGTAAGGGCACCTTTGTTTTGACAAGCCGGCATTCAGAAAAAAACGTGTTCATCGCATGGCCCATCAATGGACCCCAGACCCCTGGGAGGATCTAAAAATTAGATCCCCAAGATAATGACCCATTATAACCCCTATATAATCCTTATATAATTCCCCCTATGGTTCTAGGAGATCTGATTTTTAGATCCTTTTGGGGGTCTGGGACTGCCCTCAGGCCCTGGAGGGCTACATGGGTGGTCGTGACGCATGCGACTACATCGCTCCGCAGTTGCAAGCAGGGTAAAAGACTCTGTAGTTGACCTATGCCACGGCCTATGCATCGTCCGTAATGCTCAAGATAACCTCCACTTGTAAGCCTGCCTAGGCTTACTGGTTCTGAGTAGGGAGGGAAAAGGGAGCATATGATATAGGGGATATGTATTCATATATATGTAGAGATTATATTCCTTTATTCCCTACTAAGAACCAGTAAGTAGGAAGATTGCTGCACGACAGCTTGTACTTCACAGTCCCTGACTCAGGTCTTGGACAGCAGCAACGAGGCATACCGAACCATTGAATGCAGCCCACCACATGGGGACTATATCCATATGAGCTACTGTCAATGTTAGCTCATGTTAGCTCCAGTAAGGGGCCCTTGTCGGTGGACGTAGGGGTCCCTCATGTAGGTTAGCATAGTCCCTAATATAGTCCTTAATCAGGAACCCATGTCCAGTAGATAATGTAGGAAATACTGATTGTAGCTCATATACCCTCTCATATTTTCGTCTGCTAAAGGATGGGCCATGTCTTCTTACATATATTCTATCCAGTTTCCCAAGCTACTTTCAATTTGGGGTGCGTGCCGGCATTGTCCATGGCGAAGTGGAAGGCAACGGGATCCGCTTGCTCATCATGGTGCTGACTAGTGCGAATGTTCCTCTTTGTTGTTATTCCGAGTCTTGATGCGGCTCTTGCTCTCCTGCCATACTCCTACATGTCATTTGGAACGCAGAAGCTTACAAAGGAAAGTCAGTGGGCTAGGGTTCAAGGTTCAGGGGTTCCTTACATAAACCCTAAACCCTTACCCTTAGCCCAATAGCTTTGCAGCTTTGCTTTTGCAAGTCTCTGGAGTTCCCAACATGTCCTCAAACACCCCCATTTTTCAGTAGCGAGGCTCGGAGCCTGGGTGTGCCTCTAATAAGAAGGATTACAGTACTTGGGGTCTACATGGGGACCCCCCCCCCCCTATGTATGGCAACTACAGTGTTGTGAGGAATACAGCCTCAAGCCAGCCCTAGAGCCCCAAATGCATAAAACCCAAACCGACGCCATGCAAATGATAAAAACAGCTTCAATCCATGGCCCTATAGTCCCCCTTAAGAAGATCGAATATGGCTTTGGGTAGATTATAAAAAAGGATCCCATATACCCCATATTCTATCTACTTTAGGGGGACTATAATCCTAAACCCTAAACCCTAGACCCTAAATGGTATTTTGAATTTCCTTTCCATGATCCCTATATGAGCTATAGTCTAAACTCCCAGTATCCCCCTTAATAACCCCTATAGTAGCCCCCTATATAATCCCTTCTATAATCCCCTTTAAGGAGTTTAGACAATGGCTCATATAACAACTATAGACCTAACCCTAAACTGGTGGAGGAAGTACCCTGGCAGCGGAGCTCTTTCATCGCTAGTCCAGAGATTTTCCCCCTGAAGGTGATGCGCAAGGCCGATTGAGTAGTTGGGTTGGGGTTTAGAGTCCCCCTTAAGTAGATAGGCGTTCTATAGGGATAGTGGAAAAGAAAATGGAAACTACTATGTTATAATAGGATATATATATATATTGGGGTTACAGTCTCCCTTATTCTATCTACCTTAGGGTTAGGGTTGACGGCTTAGGCCCATGTGGCCCATGTCCAAAAATTGAAATGATGAACGGATCAGGAACTCCTGAGAAGAGGAGAGGACTGCAGCATGTGGAATTCTTAGGGACAAGGAGTTCAAACCTAAACGGGGTTGTTGTTAAGGAGTTTGATTTATGTCATCATATTGGAGAAACCTCATTAAATACTATATATACCCGTTATGGTAGCTCAATTTAGGTTCCTTAACAGCAACCCAGTAAACGTGTTCACATCTCAAAGGCTGGTTCCTCTCACAGAAGGCTCTTTTTTCTCAGCGCCGCTCAGACCCCCAATTTGGAAGCATCCCCAGTTGAGTGATACCAAAGAGGTCCCCCCCACATGGGTATTGGTCTAAATTCCCTATTTGGGTTCCCATTATAATACGGGGCCCTTTCTTTTCCATTATCCCTATAAAAAACTTCATGTATTCAATCTATTACTACTATTACTACTAGTGCTACTAGTCTTACTTTTACTACTATTGCTAGGACTATTACTGTTGCCATTACTATTACGCCTTTCAACTGACAGAACGACGACGAGTTTGACAAAATCATGGATGCCCAGCTTTCAGCCGAGCTTCAGCTGCATGCATAGGGTTAGGGCTTTAGGGTTTACGGTGGCAAGCATTGGTATCTGGCGGTTAGCAAAAGCCTACTTTGAGGTTCGTGGGAACAAGTAACCAGGTATAGTTGGAGCAACCCTTGTAAGGCCATATAGGGGGGATCATAAGTAGGGTTCCAAGCCCAGTCATAAGTAGCTATTACTTGAACCTCCAAGTAGACTCACACCCTAAACCCTAAACCCCTAAACCCTCACGGGAATTGTAGGGGCGGGCGGGTCGGTTGTTTTCGGGATTAGCGTTTCTGATGTAGGGCTTAGGGTGTCCAACAAAGAGAGGGATCCCTTGTCGGGGTCCTAGAACAAGGAATATGTAGTATTGTGGGGGCCCTTCTTGTTGGAAACCCCTATCTGAATGGGATAGGGTTTGGGGCTTTCAGTTTAGGGTTCTTGGCAGTGTCTCCAAGAGGTGGTCTTCTTTTGCGGGTGTCTCTGCAGTAAGGATCAAAAGCTCCGAGCTCTACAGTAGGCTTCTTGGTCTCCGAACCCTACACTCTAAACCCTAAACCCTAAACCAGGGTGGAGAGTCATCTGTCATCTTTTGCATGTCTGGCAACGCCTCTATCAAGTCCTTCTTCGACCCATTAGGAGGACCCCCCCACGCTGTAATAGTGGTATAATAGGAATATAAGAGGACCCTGATATAGCAAGTATTATCCCCTATAGTCACCATTACAGGGTGAGGGGTCCACCTAACCTATACCCCCTAAACCCTAAACCCTAAACCTAAACCCTATATAACCCCATTATAGTAGCATTATAGTAGTTTCCCTTTTCTTTTCCATTATCCCTATATTGCCCCAATATACTCCGCTTAAACATAACTTTATAAGACTCGCGCTCGGCCAAAGCTCTTGGCTTCTTCCCGGGGTTTAGGGTTTAGGGTATATTATCCCCCTATAATGGAGAATCAAATGGAAAAGAAAATGGAAAATGAAATGGAAACTTGGGGAATATATAGGGATTTAAGGAACTTAAATTAAGTTACTATATTGAGGAAACCCTATTATTTACTTTATATACCCAGTATGGTAACTTAATCTAAGTTCCTTAACAGCAACCCAGCATAGTCATCTTTTCGAAGCGGCCTGCCAGAGCATCTGTAGAAGCCTAAAGAATTACCGGTTTATTGCAATTCCTCAGGGAAGGTTTAGGGTTTAGGGTTTAGGGTTTTTCGCTTTAGGGTTTAGGGTTTAGGTGTCATTTTGATTTCAAACTTTCAGAATTGGGAAATTTGGGAACCCTAAGTAATGGCAAGTTTATAGGGGCTTTAGGGTTTAGGGTTTAGGGTCCTAGGTTCCTTGTATACTTGTAGTATAGGATACTTCAAAGAGACCTCAAGAGGAGATTGGTATTTTTTTCAGGCTTCTGCAGTGCTTTAGATGCAGGAAATCGGGAAATGGGCTTACATTCACAAACTTCGTCCGTGTGTCAGCCAAGTCCGTGGGTGCCTACTAATTAAGCATCCCAAGCCCCCTTGACACAAACTCTCAGTATGTGCCACCATGAACATGCGGTAAAAGAGGGGTGGTAGGACCATTGTATCTGCGGCAACATTCATCTGGGGCTGTTGCGCTTAAACCCAAGTAATGTACTCGTTTCCATTTTCTTTGTCACCCTGAATCCTAAACATGTAGCAAGTGCCATTTTGTTGTTTCCATTCCCCCATAGGACACTACGTAGCCCATCAAGGTGCTTAGATTTGATTAACCCAAACCGGCAAAACTAACCTCATCTTAATGGTTGAAATGGAATGAAGTCCCAAAAATCACCTTAACCCTAATCCCAAAACTCTAAACCCTAAATCCTTAACAGTTTTAATTTGGCCAACCATAAGCCCTGCCTAGGATGCCTCCAAGCTCAAGGCGAAGGAGAAGAAGGAATGGTTCTGTTTCTTTGGCTGGGTAAACAGTTTTAGGGGTTTTATGGTAAGAAGGTTCAGGGTTTAGGGTTTAGGGGTTTATGGTAGTAGGGCGCAGGGTTTATGTTTACAACAGTTTTATTGATTGCAGTAGAACAGCAAGAAACTAAGCAGAATTTCAGAATAGCATGTCTATTTGGTGTCCAGGGGATGACGGAGCTTTCTCGTGCCCTTGTTTCAGTCAATGTAGTCCTCCATAGTTCCTACTATATAGCTTTATAGGTTTCACTAGTGTTTCTAAAAATGTGCTTGCCGAGTGGGTAAACGGCTTCTTGGTGCTTGAGAAGAGTTGGGGAGGGAATGGAAAGGCAATAACAGGGGGCTTATGGGATTAGAACAGCTTACCGGTGCCCTTACATGGACTAATGTAAGTTCCCAGGGTTCCTTAAACATGTCGTTGAACCCAGGCGTACAACCTTCTAGTTAGGAAAACGCTCAAACCCAGCATTCCCAGGTTCAGCATGATGAAGCCAACACGCTGATCAAATGAGCCGTTTGGGGTGGGGCTAAATCTCGCAACAGGTTGTCCCATAGTGGCTTGCGGCACCCATATCCCTGATCTCCGTAGGGACCCTCAACAGAACAGTGACCTGTGGTGTTGAGAAGTGCCGTCAGGTAAGTTTTGATCTGTTTGCAGTCGCTGAGGTTGGTGGCACGCGAAGGCTGTTTGTCAAGGTTTTGGGCTGCGCCAGACACCTTTCGGCAAAGGTCTTGTGTGCTTTGTTCCAGGGCTAGGGGATGCTTCCGGTTTAATGCTGGAGGGGTTGGACTATGCTGTGTGCGTGTCCATCTTCGATGTCTTCTGCACTAGGATATAAGAGCCCCAGCCGAAAGACATAATTACCTGGAATCCTGGTCGGAATCCACGTATTTTGCCGCATCGGGTTCCTACACGCTTTCTTTGCGCTCAAGATGTCGCCTCTCAACATAAAGAAACCGGAGGTGTGCCCTCATGACAAATGAGGCCGAGTCAGCCCCGAGCTTCAAAGAATGCCCTTCCCTAGCATGGTTCCTCATCCTAAGGTCCCCATAATAATAATTGATTAGGGTTTAGGGTTTAGGGTTGGAACCCCATGATTACCAGGTTTGCCAAAGTTGTGTGTGCCATGTAGGCCTTTTTCAACTAGGGTGGTCGATTTGTTCTAGAGCCACTGTTGGGAATCCACGTTGGTTTGGGGATGTGTAGGTACCAGCTTTCTAGGTGTGCAAGAGCCAGTTTATATATGTATATTTACATATATGCATATGTATATATGTAGAGAGAGAGAGAGAGTGAGAGAGAGAGAGAGAGAGAGAGTAAGAGAGAGCGAGAGAGAGAGAGAGTGTGCCCGCACGAAAGAAAGAAAGAGAGAGAGAGAGAGAGTGTGTGTGGTGGATGTATTCAACATTCGGGGTGGGGAGTGCTTGTTCATAGTTAGGGGGAGTGAGGAGTTTCTTCGCACCCACGCCAAGACTTCGCTTCCCCTTGTGTTCTTCCTCTCGGTGATCCAGCCAGTCATACAACGAAAAAATAAGCCCTGGAACTACAACTCATGGGACTTGTGACTGTCGATAGCTTGAGCACATGCTTGAACTTACCTGTGTCTGTATCTGCTTGGAATGCACTTTCGGGGCACCGCCATGTTCAAGCAAGGAACATCCTGACGCTTCTGATTGCGGTTGCTTCGCTGGCCGAAATCATTCACATGGAGCACATCAGGCGCCGTGGCGCAGGAAAAATTGTCATAGCAGAAAAGGAGACCCATATCCACAGGTCTGGAAATCATCGTGAAGCTGGGAGGCTCCGTATGGAACGTGTGTGCTCACACATCACCTTTCATGTCAGACATGATCTTATCGATGTAGGGTTTTTGCGGATTGCGGAAAGGGGGAATGTGATAACCATATGTACAGGGCTTACAGCCACACGTTCCAGCTTCGAGCAGGACTCATCCTTCATTCTTGCGCCAAAGGGGAGCCAAAAGGAAGTTTTCGGGTCTTGAATAGGATGTCATTCTTCTAAGATAAGGCAGGGCCGACGGATAAATCTGTTAGTTTCGAAGTACGTCAATCTGAAGCCTCTGGCCAAAGTTTAGACACACACATACATCCACCTGAACGGCAAAGCCTCCTCTACTTTGTGTGGTCCTAGTGCTAAAATATGAAGAAGCGGGAAAGTTATCTGGCAGCCCTTACTCAGAGTTCCCGCCTGGCAGCCCTTACTCAGAGTTCCCGCCCAGCAGTACGCACTCTAAACCTAAATTCCTAACCACGACCTGGCCAGGGGATGGAAGACTAACGACTCCTCAAACAGCCTGTCTCCGGGCTTGAGTTTGGTGTAAAGTGTACAGAGTAGGTTTGTAGGATTTAGTATTCATGGTTCAGTGGTCAGGAGTTTTTCAGGCTTAGAGCTGAGGGTGAAGTTGAGTGATGATCCTCAGTCCCCCTTAAGTAGATAGAATATTAGGTGTATATATATATATTGGGGTTCTATAGGGATAATGGAAAAGAAAATGGAAACTACTAGGGTTTAGGCAAGTTAAGGCATACCACATGAAGTGCAGAGTGTCTCGGCTATTGAGGGTTAGATCTTTAGGTAAGAGTGGGTCAGAGTTCATTCAAGAGCTTTTTGCGGGTCTAGCTAGGGTGCATCATACCATCCGGCAACTTGAAAGGTGAGTTGCGGAGCACAATGGGGTTCAAACATGTACTATGACCCTATTATGGGTAGGGGCTGATTATAGTATAATTAGGTCCTGAATACGACCCCTGTTATAAACTGTGAGTGGGTGGGGGCAGGACCCAAGGAGAATGGCTGTATCCGAGAAGCCTCATCCTTGAAGCCTACACCGTAGGTGGACCCCCGAAGCAGTAGACGACAGGTGATAATGGTGGTTGTACTAGGGTCTTCTCATATTCCTGTTATGCCACAGACAGCCACTTAATTTCCAAACTCCAGAAACAAAACCTCAAAGTAGCAAATTTGCACAATCGCCACACTTCACCTCACAAAGAAAAGGTGGTGCTCGTAGACAGTTGTCCCCAGATGACCTGATTTCAGATTTGGGACGTGGTATACATCTGCCAGAAACATGCAGTGCAAACGCTCTGAACCCCCGGTCCCTGTGAGGGTTTGGGCCTCGGTTTAAGAGGCACTGCAAAAAATCCTTGGTCCCTTGTTCTTAAACTATGCGAGTTTCCCAAAATTAAATAAGCCTCTCTTCTTGGGGATCCCCCCTAAAAAAGAGCTATAAAATGTTCGGGTCCCTGTGTTTATGGAAAATATATACAGGAGCTTCAAGACAACCCAGGGGAGGGGGGGGTGGTGTTGGAGTAGTAATGCAGAGTCACATGCAAAAGAACGTCGAAAATTGCATGGAAACTAGGATTATGTAGGGTTGTAACACATGCATCCCTCTAGATACCCTCGAAGCCCTCAGTTTACTGGCGCGAAATGGGGAGTTTGGAAGTGGATGCGTACATAATCCTTTAGATAGTCCCTTCGTTCACTCCCCCCCCCATTAAACATCAGAAGCTCTAAGGCGTATAGCAGCTTCATTTTTTTTCATTCCCCCAAACCCTAAACCCTAAACCCTAAAACACCAGTCTCAGTAAGTAGAGAATCCAGCACCTCAAGCCTTAAACCCCAAACCCTACGCTAGGGTTTAGGGTTTAGGGTTTAGGGTAAAGCCCGCAAAGGGGTCCTAAGCACTAAAGTTCTGAAACATTCAAACCTAAAACCTCAAGCCCTAAAGCCCTAAACACCTAGAACTCCTAACCTTAAACAACTAAACTACAACCCTACAGCCCTCAAACCCTCCTAAAGCTACTTTAAGGTTCCTTTGATCCTTATAGCAGTCCCTATATTAAACCCGTTATGGTACTTTCCTTGCGCCTTTTTCATTCTCCATTTCCATCCCTAAACCTCAAACCCTAAACCCCTAAATCCTAAACCCTAAACCCTATAAACCCTGACCCTAAACCTTAATAACCCTGATGCCTAAGCCCTGTAAACCCTAAACCCTATAAATCTTAACCCTAGACCCTATAAACCTTAACCCTAAACCCTATAAACCTTAACCCCAAATCCTCTCAACCTTTACCTGAAACCCTAAGCCCCTTTAAAGATCCTTGTCAGCCGAGGCTCCACCTCCGTGGCAACCTCCGCTTTCGGGCCTTCCTGGTCTTCCGAGTGGCCGCTCCTTCTTAGCCAGAAATCAAGGGTTTAGGGTTTAGGGTCCCTTTAAAGGTGGTTTTTGTAGGGTTTAGGATTTGTTTAGGGCCAGAGTTTAGGATCCCTTGTAAAAGGGCTTTTGTAGGGTTTAGGCTTTCTTGTGGAGTTTAGGGTTCAAGGCCAGAGTTTAGGGTCCCTTTAAAGGGGCTTTTGTAGGGTTTAGGGTTTCTTTTGGGTTTAGGGCTTAGGCCAGAGTTTAGGGTGCCTTTTAAAGGTTTTTTTTGTAGGGTTTAGGGTTTCTTTTGCTTTGGGGCTTAGGGCCAGAGTTTAGGGTCCCTTTAGAGGGGCTTTTATAGGGTCTAGGATTTCTTTTGGGGTTTCGGGCTTAGGGCCAGAGTTTAGGGTCCCTTTAAGTTACTGTGGGTTTCTAGGGAATGAAAGAATTTTTTGCATAGGGTCTAGAGTTTAGGGTCCCTTTAAAGGGGCTTCTGTAGGGTTTAGGATTGAGGGTTTAGGATTGAAGGTTTAAGGTTTAGGGCTGAGGGTTTAGAGGAAAATGAAGATACAGGGGTCAGAATTCATGGGTTGCCCTCCTCTCCCAACCCAACTAGTGGTCAATGATATCGAGTATGATTAACGCAATGCCCAGGAGGTCCTGTGGTCTGGGTTTTGTGGTTTTTCTAAGGTGCATAGAGAGCTTAACCGTGTCTATACAGGGTTTCCACAAGGTTTCTAGAAGTTTGCAGATGGCTCATAGGTTGTATATAGCAGGGTTATAAATGCGTGACGAGAGGGGTTAAAAAGGTTTTTCTAGAGTTTTGTACAGGGCTCATGGCTACAGAGATAGAGGGTTTCTAGACAGTCTGTAAAGTTTCTTTACGGAGTTTAGAGGGTTTAAAGATAGTTCCCAGTTCCTAGCCTCTATAGAAGGTTATAGACTTATAGACGGTTAACGAGTTTCCTGGGTTTCTACAGGTTTTATAGTGCTGCATTGGGGCTTAAGGAAGTAACGGCTGTGGTCCTGTGGTGTGGTTTGGGTCGTGTAATGAGGGCTCAGAAGAAGGTTTAGAAACCCCCACCTACACACATCCATATACAGCCCTACATAGCCTGTACTGTATAACGCCTACATCCCTTGAAGCTTGACCCTTACTGCCTGGTTTAGGGTTTAGGGTTTAGGGGAACTCTTTTCTCTAACATAAATGGGTTGGCCTTTGGGGTACTTATAAATATCTTCCCTACTTGATTTCATAAGGACCCTATATACTTGTATTTTTCAAAGGGTTCCAGAGGCCAACCAAGATAAATACCAGCGCGAAACCCTTTGAAAGCAAAAGTTACAATTCCATGTGTCATACGATTTACCATTTCATCTTCCGTTATCACCCCCAGGTCCTAAACCCTAAATAGTAGCTTACATCTTGTTTTCCGTTCTCTGTTCCATTTGATTCTCCAGCGTTGGGGTACCCATAAACCCTACATATTCCTGGATGACCCCCCCCAAAAACCTTTTTGGCAGACCATAATATGGGTAATTCCGTTGTATCGTACGCCACCTGAAATCCTAAACCCTCCTGGCGATGCTGTATGGCCATGCCAGCAGCGAAGCCCGAATGCTTCAAAATGGAGTACTTTCCATTTTCTATTCAGCTCTTTTACATTTTATACTAAACCCTCAACCATATAACCCCTTTGTAAAGCCTGGTACTCCAGTAATCAGCAAGGCATGCTTCATGATCTGTCTCGGCTGGTCATTGGTGGCCAGGTGGACCAAGTGGCTCGAAGAAGGCGCTACTTGGGGTTCCCCATCGGAGAATGTAGAGGTATTTGGGGTACATAAGGGCATGTGTATATTTACATATACAAGTTTATATGTATATGCAATTACGTAAGCCCAAATACCCAAAATATGTGTGTATATATATGTATATGTATATAGTGTAGGGTTTATTGGTTAGGTTACGGGTGCAAGGGCGATGGGTTTGTAGAAGGTTTAGCTTAGCTACGTATATGTGCATCAATTCTTAAATCAGTTTTCTTTCAAAATTGGTTCTCTGGTTCTCGCCTGGCGTTTAGGTCAAACGGTTCAACCATGGGAACAGCACACAAACATATCATCCAAAGAAGAGCGCCCCAGTCTTCCATTTTACTACATCCTCACCCTAAAGTAAACCTTTCAGGGAGGGCATTACACTGTGCCAAGCCTGGGTTTTGTCGGGGATGGCAAGTGGCCTCCCTGGCATGGTCCCCTCGATCAACGTTGCCATTGAGGGTTTTACCTAGGCAAGCCTAATGCAAAGCTGGCTTTAGAGTAACCCTAAACCCCAAACCCTAAACCCTAAACCCTAAACCCAAAACCCTAAACCCTAAACCCTAAACCGCAGTCCGCGGGACTTGCAAACGTCACATCAGACTTTCGCCTGCCGAGACGTCTATTGGCACTTTTATTTGGGGATACTAGGGTACCCAATATAGGGTTTAGGGCACTATAATGGAGAATCAAATGGAAAAGAAAATGGAAAATGAAATGGAAACTGGGATTATCTAGGTGTTATTTTTACTACCAACACCTTGGGTCCGCCGGACTAAAGGGCTCATCGGGCGGGATGTCAGCCGAAATACGCCAAGAAGCGCTCGTCTGAGCACATCCAGCCCCTTGCGTCCGCCGGACTTACAGCCTCATTGGGGGGAATAGCAGCCTAGATGCATCAAAAGCGCGGATGTCATACCCTTTGTCGTGGAACCCCAGGCCTCTTTGTGTGTGTTCGCATCTACCGAAACTGAGGAAAAGAACCCCCTTTCGCTGTGAAAAGTGTGAAGCAGTTGAGCCGCGCATTCCGGTTTGACTGAAAAGTCACGCATCCTCAGACCCCTGAAGCTATGCAGAGGGTAGACCTCCAATCTGATACCCCATAAAGTTCTTTGGTAGCTTCTGGCAACCCATTAAAGGGAATCTACTTTCCAGATCCTCCCAGGGGGACGGTCGCAGATTTGTTACTTTGGCGAGCTTGATGAAGGGGACCCTGTTCAACGGTACCTTTTGCTTCTGCCCGATTTTGTCGGCTTGCAATGTTCATGAGGTTTTAGGGTATGGAAACCTGAATAGGGATTTAATGCTACATGCACATAAGCTTGTAGTAAGTCCTGATATGCTGCGCAGCATGCCAAGTTTACCTCGGCATCCCATCCATATGTTTGAACCTGATACCCTAAACGCCTAACTGTAAACCCGGCCTCAGACTAAAAAGACAGATTTCACACGCAACGCTGCAAACTTCACTCCAGGAGATTAATTTAGGGTTTAGGGTCTGTAATTTCCACAATCGGGAGCTCCCCAATATAGACCCCAATTCTGTAATCCTTAAGTATAGGCACGCCTAAAAAGATGCTAAACATTTGGGAGACACCCACTTATACTCCAGCCACCAAAGGAAAACCACAACAGACAACCCGCAAGATAGGAACCTCATGCCAGGCCCCGATCTAGTCAGAAGGGTTTAGGGCTACACAAGCTTTATATAGGGGTAAGAACGGATGTATAGGGGTTCTATAGGGGTATACAGGAATAATGGAGGATCAAATGGAAAATGAAATGGAAGCTAATTACTCTTATCATTCCCTCATGCCCCATGATCTCCATCTGCTACAGGTGATGTTGCCACGACACCCTGTTGGAACCTCAAGTATTACCTGGACCCCCAAAAGTATGTAAAATAATAGCCCTAAACCCTTAAAAACAGCCAAAAAGGTTATAGTTCTACATACTTTCGGGGTTCGGGTAGACCTTCCATAAAGAGGTGAACCGGATGGGGAAGATGAGGATGACGCGCGCACTCGGCGCAAGAACGCCTTGCGACAGGGCTGCTTCTTCAGGCTTAAGGGTTTAGGGTTT